ATTCGCGCGTCGTTCCACGCTCACCACACCATGCGGAGATATCTAATTGTCGAGATGGCAGGGCATGAAAACGTGGGCACGGGAATCTCGTCACGAAACGTGCACTAGGAGTTGAGGCACGAAATTATGTTGGCTTGCCTTGTAGAAATTCTCTAAGTGTTGAGAGAAAGCTTGAACATAGCTTCACTATAGGAAAGAGAAGAATATAATACATTGGAAAGACATGAACCATATAGGAACGAAGTGACGAGAGTCACGAACGTTCATGCAGAACGTTTCTACAACTACTCTAGCATGTGCGTTGCCAACTCAGCATCGGCAGGTGAAAATAACATGCCATGTGGTTTTATACCTAACTAGGAGTAATTGTTCATGTTTCTGCAATATTTGGCAGTTACACATGCTTCGTTTGTGCAATATAGTTACTTCACTCACATAGTTCATTTGCAGAATTGCGGGTCAATAATGCCGACGGAGTGTAATCGGCGAATTTCCGCGCAGGAGATTCCACACTTTGCCCCATTTTCGCGTTTTGCCTTGGGTTCGCGCATTGTGCAGTTTCGTACCTGCACGAGCGCGAAATCCCCCCTAGGACGAAATCTGCCAGCAGTGCAACTCGACGCGAAACCTCGCTCCCACTAAGACGCGAACCCCGCGTGCAGTGCGAGCATCTTCGCGGCTGCGAGACCACGCTCTACTGCGCGGACACTTTTTGCTTGAAGTTCTCACACACGAAAACAGGCACGTGCAGGGCCTTTTGCATCAACAGACTTCACTCCCACGTCACGTCGGCCACCAGTGATGCTCTTGGCCGGCCCCACAGGCGACGCCCCACCTCTCCCCTCATCGCCGGAGGCCGACACCTGAGTCAGCCTACGCAAGTCGGCAGCGAGGGGAAGGGCAGGAGGGGCAAAGGAAAGAGGGCGGACGTCCTCGGCGTCCTCATCAGCAAGCTCACCGACCTCGGTGAGCAGAGGGAGCATCGCCGTGGAGGTATCCGTCGGCGGGTTGACCTACGTCCGCCTCGACGTCGGCCCGTGCTCTGACTTCCACTCCTCCAGCGACATTGTCTCGTAGAATACCACGTCCGACGTGGTGACCCTGTTGTCGGTGAGATTGAGGAGCTCCCAGCCCTTGCTCTCCTCCGACACACCGAGGTGAAGGCCCCACCTGGCCTTCGGCTGCAGCTTTCCACCATGCTGCTGTTCAGAGACTAAGAACTGCGCCATGCAGCCCCACATGCGCGCCAGCGACAAGTCAGGTTTCTTCCCGGTAAGCAGCTGGTACGACGTCGTTCCCGGCGGCAGCGACGACCTCTCAAGGCAGTTCCAGACCCAGACGGCCTGACGCAGTGCGAGGTGCCACCAGTGGTGCTGCACACCCATGTGCAGCAGCATCGTCCGCACTGACTCCACCACCGTCCGCATCTCCCGCTCCACCATGCCGTTCTGCTGCAGGGTGTAGGGACAGGTCAAGTCGTTGACGATCCCCTAGCCGTCCACAAAGGCGGTGAACTCCTTCCCAAGAAACTCCCCTCCCCGGTCAGAGCGCAGCATCAACACTGACTTCTTTGTCTGCCACTAAACCATATGGGCGAGTAACGCACGTACACATGGTACCAACCATATGGTTAAGTAACGCACTTACTCTTAGTACCAACCATATGAGTAAGAAACGCATTTGCTCTTTGTACCAACCATATGGGTAAGTAATGCATTTACTCTTGATACCAACCATAGGGGTTAGTAACGCACTTACTCTTAATACCAACCATATTTCTAAATAACACACATTCTCTCCGTACCAACCATATGGGTAAGTAACGCACTCACTCTTGGTACCAACCATATGGTTAAGTAACGCACTTGCTCTTGGTACCAACCATATGGGTAAGTTACTTACATACTCTTGGTACCAACCATATGGTTAAGTAACGCATTTACTCTTCGTACCAACCATATGAGTATTTACGCATTACTCTTGGTACCAACATATGGTTACTCTTAGTACCAACAATATCATGCTCTTTGTATGCTCTTATGCCTATGCAAGTAACGTGCTTACTCTTGGTTCCAACCATATGGGTAAGTAACGCACTTACTCTTTGTACCAACCATATGGGTAGTTACTCACTTACTCTTGGTACCAACCATATGGTTAAGTACTGCACCTACTCTTAGTACCAGCCATATCAATAAGTAACTCTCTTGCTCTTTCTAGCATATAAATGGGTAAGTAACGCACTTACTCTTGATACCAACCATATGGGTAAGTAACGTACTTACTTTTAGTACCAACCATATGGTTAAGTAACGCACTCGCTCTTCGTACCAATCATATGGTTAAGTAACGCTCTTAATATTGGTACCAACTATATGGGTAAGTGATGCACTTACTCTTGATACCAACCATATGGGTAAGTAACGTACTTTTGATACCAACTATATTGTTGAGTAACGCACTTTCTCTTCATACTAACCATTTGGGTAAGTTACACTTTCCGTTTCTCTTCAACACTCATATGGTTAAGTAACGCACTTACTCGTAGTACCAACCATATGAGAAAGTAACGCACTTGCTCTTTGTACCAACTATATGGGCAAGTAACGCCCTAACTCTCAGTACCAACCTTATGGGACAGTAACGCACATACTCTTTGTACCGACAATATGGCTAAGTAATGCACTTACTCTTGGTACCAACCATATGGGTAAGTTACGCACTTGCTCTTTGTACCATCTATATAGGTAAGCAACGCACTTACTTGTAGTACCAACCATACGGGTAAGTCACGCACTTGCTCTTAGTACCAATTATATGAATAAGTAACGCACTTACTCATAGCACCAAGCATATGATGTAGTAAAGAATTTATCAAAGTACCAACCAAATGGGCATCAGAGCTGCGTTCTAGCGATCTTCATTATAGGTAGCTATGGCGGGAAATACTTCGGTGGGAGCTGGTAAATTAATAACTCAAGTTCGAAATGGCTGCCAAGATTTTGTTGTTTCGGTGTCAAGGGGAGCGTGAACAATCCAGGGCTCATTGATCAAGGATGTGATGAAGAAGTTCACTGTCGAAAAGTTCAATAGTGAGGGCTATGATGATTGGGCCTGGAAAATGCAACTCTATTTCCGTCAGATCGGTTTGCTGAAACTAACTATTGAGAAGGAGCCTAGACAGAGTGACCCCGCCTCGGCTAACTACTACTTGATGTCGAAGATTTTGGAGCTGAACCAGCGTCACCACGTCATGCACTTGGTGCCGGAGGTTTAGTGCGGTCTGTTGGGTGCAAATGCACATTGCACGACATCTTGCCGTCTGTTTGTACGAGTATGCGTGTGCGAATGCATTTGGGTGTGAATGGAATGTTCGTGTGTTTGTTTGCTTTTGCAATTTTTGCTTGATGCATTTGCAGGTACTCGCGCAATGTGCGCTTCGGCACAACATTGTACGCGCTATGAACAGTGCAAGCAGAAAGGACGAGCTCGCAAAGGAACCCAGGATGGAAGCTTTGCGGTTCGGTCGAATTGATTGCGCAGATTCAGTTCTATCCAATTCGAAATTGTACTGTTTTGCTTGGTTGACTATAGTGTAGCAGGGCAGGCACAATAGGGGTACAATTTGGGTGAAGGTTGGATGTTGTTTGTCTGTATCTGCATGCTACAGGGCCAGGGGAAACCAGCGGAACCAGCATTTGGCTGGTTGGGCAAAGACAAAACAGGTTCTGTTTTAGAACCTGAACCTGGTTGTTGTTTTCCCAGGTTGGAAAAACAGAACCAGAGGTTGTTTACCAACCTACCACCTGCTATTTTGTCCAGCCAGGTTGGTTCTGTTGCTTGGAATTATTTGGGATCATCCCTGGTTGTTCCCAGGTTGATTCCCAAGGTCCTTGCTAGCTAGAACTATTTATTCCTTCTCTGTTTGTACCTGGATATAGTCAAATTGATTCATGCGAATTCCTTCCTCGCTGGAATTTCGTTTCTACGCGGTTCGTTGGCGGAATGCTACCCGAGTCAACGCTAGTACGCTAGCACTCTAATGCTAGGCAAACACCGTCCGAGCCATAACTTCGTAATGGCAGAACTTTTCGCGAGGCAACTTCGCTCATTTTAAAGCTCTTGGAGCGAGCTTCGATATAGCGAATTCTCAGCTTAATCCGATCGACGGTCTGCACGGCACGCTGCGCGACGTTCAAGGTACTCTTGCTGTTTTGACTAAGTCCTTCTTGATCCCTCTCTCTACAAACTCGGACCCGAGGATAGGGGCTGGTCTTGTACCAGGCACCCAGGGACCCTTGGAGGTGACCCCGAGGAGAGGTTTTAAGTTTGATTAAGTCTTAATAGCCTGAGTTTATTAGGCCGTTACACCAACACGGTCCGAAGGTGTGGACCCTATTGAAGGAGCTATACACTCCGACCTCCGTTGCCACAATTTTAATGCTGGAGAGGGAGCAGTCCATGTTGTGCCTGAGCGAGGGAGAGCCGGTGCAACCTGTCCTGGACAAGATGCGCGACCTCTATGCAATGTTGGCGACCGCGGGAATCACCTACCCAGAGCAGACCAAGTGCTTGAAGATGCTCTCACTGCTGCCGGAATCGTGGCTCAGAACCAGAGCTTGTAGACGCTTGAGGTGGTGCGGACAAAGATTCTGGAGGAGGACTTCCGTTGCCGCCAACGGAGGAATGGAGGCAACGGCAGCAGCGGCTACGGCATTCAATGAGGAAAACGTGGCAGAGGACGTGGCTTTGGTGGTGCTGGACGCGGTGCAAAGAAGGACGACGACTCCAACGACCAACAAGGAGGTACCGGTTGAGGTCGCGGTGCGAAATCAGGATGTGGGGGCAGATCGGGTGCTGTTGGCAAAATGAAAGGGAGTTGCCGATATTGTGATGAGGGGCATCCTTGGTTCTTGTGTTATAAGAAACCCAAAGGCTGGACCCCCCAGAATCGTCACCAGGATGGCGGCGCACGGAGGAACCAGAAAAACGGCGCGAACATGGTCGCTGATTCGTCCGACGAGAACCCGAAAGGCAATGACGGTGTTGAGAAGAAGGAGCGCGCCGCGGGCCAGTTCTTCCATGTTGGAGACAAGGGGGAGCAGGTAGACGGCTCTGCCAAGGTTGGAGCAGAGCTGCACCCCCTGGACTTTTGGGTGTTGGACACGGGCGCCGCGTGGACGATGACGCCGCGCAAGGACCTGCTGGACGACGTACGCGCTGCACCGATCAATGAGGTGTGCTCCGCCTCTGGACACCCGTTGAAGGTGGCTGGTTCGGAACGAGCTGCGTTGAAGGGAGCGGATGGCACGCCGGTGGTGGTGCATGACGTTCTGTTCGTCCCCGACCTCCGTAAGCTTGCCAAGGCTGGGGTGAGCACTAGCACGGATGGGGCACACACCTACAAGGGGCAGCTGGGCAATCGGGTGCTTTGGGATCTGGATGTGTACAGATCCATGTGGCAGCTGCCGGCGTTGGCGTGGCATGGTGGGGGGCCGGCTAGAGAGGGGTCCGAATTCCAGGGGAATGCAACACCATTGGAGAAGTTGGTGTGAGAGTGTCAGCCGGGCAACGGCACACCAACGCTTGGGGCATGTGGCAATGCCTTTGTTGAAGCAGCTGGAGAAGGATGGAGCCGTCAAGGGTTTGAAGCTGAATGGACAGCCACCTGATGACAACTGTGAAATCTGTTTGCTCTCAAAGTTCACCCGTTTCCCCTTCCATAGTGTGGCTGGCAGGAGCAAGAAGCCGTTGGAGCTGGTCCACATGGACTTGGTGGGGCCGCTACCGGTTCAGGGGCACAAGGAGGAGCGATATTTCTTCAAGATTGTGGATGATTGGAGCAAACTCATGTGGGTGTATCCATTGAAGCAGAAGAATAACGCTATCTCTACGTTGCGAGATGATTGGCTGCCCTTCGTGGAAAAGCAATCAAACTGTGTGCTGAAGCGGATTAGGACAGACCGGGGTGGTGAGTTCTTTGCAGCTGAGACGACGGCTTGGCTTAAGAAGCAGGGTATTTAGAGGGAGCTGACCACGGCTTACATCCCACAGTCCAACGGAATAGTATAACGGGCAAACCGGACAATTTTGAAGACAGCTGGGGCGCTGCTCATAGAACCTAAGCTGGGCAACTCGATGCGGCCCCATGCTCTCTGGCACGCCACCGTGACTAGGAAAAGGGTGCTCATAAAGGTTGGTGATGACTCGTGGGTGCCATTGGAGAGAGGCGGGAGGAAGCAGTCGGTGGACATGCTGAGGATGTTCGGTTTCATGGCAGCTTCCCACGTCCCTACGAAGCACTGAAGTAAGTTGGAGGCGAGTGCAATCTGGTGTGTGCATTTGGGGCTGGCTGCAGAGAGCAAAGGATGGCTGCTGTACGAACCACGCAAAAGGGTGAAGGATGTGAAGTTTGTTGACGGCCTGATGTGAAGTTTGTTGGGGCTTGAAAAAACAGCTGGAGGCCAAGGGGGGGGCACACGAGATAGAGCAGATCACCATGCGAAGGAAGGAAAGAAGAGAAAGGAAGCAGAGAAAGGAGAAAGGAGAAAGCAGAGGAAGGAAGAAGAGGAAGGAGAGGAGGAAGGAGAGGAGGCAGTTGTAGAGGGTGGTGATGGAGAGAGGGTACAGGAGGCACCTGCTGGTGGAGGAGATGGTGTAGAGGCTAGTGGAGCTGCTGGACCTGAGGGTGGAGAGCAGCAGTAGGGCAAAGCTATGGCTCCTACACTACCACCTAGGAGAAAGCCGAAGGGTGTCATTATGAAGGGAAAGGAGACACCCATCTCCAGGTCAGGATGTACCCAAATGGCCACTGGGAAGCTGACTGCAGAAGCTGATGTAGCAGAGTAGCAGCTTAAGAACGAAGAGGCGTTGCTGATTTTGCCTCAAGGCTATGACCAAAATCAGGAGGACGAGCCTGCATACTGTTTTCTTGCCCCTGCACCAGAGGAACCAGCTAGCATGGAGGAGGCATTAGCTGGACCAGATAGGGACAAGTGGCTGGCTTCTAGGGATGCTGAGTACCAGAGCCTGCTAGAGAATGGGACATGGGATCTGGTGGTGCTGCCTGAGGGGAAGAAAGCCGTACAGTGCAAGTGGGTGCTGAGGTGACGATCTACAAGAGTAGGTTGGTGGCTAAGGGGTTTCAGCAGAAGGAGAAGCAGGACTTCAACGAGATCTTTGCTCCCACTGCCAAATCCCCTACCCTCCGTGTCTTGTTGGCAGATGCAGCCGCTAGTAGGAAGTACATCATTCAGATGGATATATCAACGGCCTTACTCAATGAGATTTTAGAGGAGGAGGTGCACATGACGCAGCCGCCTGGGTATGAGGATGGTACAGGCAGGGTGTGCAAGCTGAAAAAGTCTATCTACGGCTTGAAGCAGGCGCCATGCTGCTGGTACCAACAGTTGGCAGATGTTTAAGAAAAGATGGGATTTAGTCCAGCAGCTGCGTTGAGAGCCTCTTTGTAAAGGGGGAGAAGGAGAAGCTGGTGATGTTTCTGGTCTACGTGGACGACATTTTTCTCTTCGGCCGCAGCATGAAGGAGATCCAGAAAGTGCAGCAGCAGCTGATGGAGAACTTCAAATGCAAGACCCATGGGGAGGTAAAGTATTACATTGGGATGCACGTAGAGAGGGATCTGGATCACAGGTTGTTGAAGCTGCACCAGGAGAAGTCCATCAAGCAGCTGGGGAAAAGTATGGGATTGAGAATGAGCGCAAGGTTGCAACTCCCCTGCCAGCTGAGTTCAAGCATGTAAAGGTTGCTGAGGATGAAGGGGTCGAAGCCAAAGAGAAGCAGCATTTTCAGTCCTTGGTGGGCAGCCTCTTGTTCACACGAGGTCCGACATTTCAATCTCGGTTGGGCAGCTGGCCAGGTCATGCTGAATCCATCTGAGGAGCAGGTGGATGCACCTGAATGTGTGGTGAAGTACCTGAACTAGTGTTGGGGTTCAATACTCCGCATCTTTATAGGTGAAGCATAAGAGGGTTGAGTAGTTGAAGGAGAAGGGGGAGAGGCTTGGCGAAGGGAAACTATTTCTCACTTGCTTAACCGATGCAACTTGGGCATCTGAGTAAGAGGATTCCTCTTCTGTGGAAGGATACATTTTCCTGGTTGAAGGAGGACCCTTTAGTTGGAGGTCCAAGAAGCAGCTTGTCCACACTCTCCTCGATACAGTCCGAATACATGGCGATGTTCCATGGGGTGAAAAGTGATTTGGCCGGAGAAGGTTGTTAGAGGAGATTGGCCAGGAGCAAAAGGTTGCTACGCCACTGTTTTGTGATAGCAAGCGGGCTCTTTGGATGGCCAGGAACAATGCGCTTCATAGGCTGAACAAGCACATGCGAATCAAGTGGCACTGGCTGCGTAAGGAGGTGAAGAGGGGGACGGTGAATCCGATCTATATCAAGACTCACCAGCAGCCAGCAGACTTCCTCACCAAGAGGCTAGCGGATGAGCCTCGCTGGCATTGTGTGCGCATCAATGGAATGAGTATGAATTAGTATGGAATGATGGGATGCAGCCGGCAGGCTGAGGGGAAGTGTGTTGGGTGCAAATTCACATTGCACGATTTCATGCCGTCTGTTTGTACGAGTTTGTGCAAATTCACTTTGCACGACATCCTGCCGTCTGAGGGGGAGTGTGTTGGGTGCAAATTCACTTTCGCAAGGCAACTTGGCTGATTTTAAAGCTCTTGGAGCGAGCTTCGATTTAGGAAGTTCTCAGCTTAATCTGATCGACGGTCTGCACAGCAAGCTGTACGATGTACAAGGTACTCTCGCGTTATTTTGGCCAAGTCATTCTTCGATTCTCTCTCTACAAACTCGGACCCAAGGATAGGGGCTGGTCTTGTACCAGGCACCCAAGGACCCTTGGAGGTGACCCCGACATTGTACGCCCTCCGCACTCACCATGTGTCCGACAAACTGTACCTTCTTCAGGACGAAGTCGTTCTTTGACATCTTGACGTAGAACTTGTTCTCCTGCAGGTTCTCGAAGACTTTCCGCAGATGCTTCACGTGCTCCTTTAGGTTCTTTGAGTAGATGAGGATATTATCCAGGTGCACTACTACGCACTCCTCTTGGAATGTCTTCTGTGCGATGCAGAGTCCGAATAGCATTACTAAGTATTCGTAGGAAACATATCTGGTACGGAACGCTGTCTTGTAGATCGAGTTGTCTGCTATCTTGATCTGCCAGTATCACGACCATAGGTCCATCTTCAAAAACACCGTTGCACCACGCAGTTGGTCTAGAAGATTGTCTATGCGCAGGATGGGGTATTTGTTTTTTACTGTCTGTTTGTTCAGTGCACGGTAGTCGATGCACATCCGTAAACTACCGTCTGGCTTTGGAGCAAACATAACCAGTGCGCCATAGAGGGAGGTGGATGGGCGGATCAGTTTTCTGTCCAGTAGATACTCAATCTGTTTCTTCATGTCTGTTGGTTTGGTCGGACGGCAATATGGTGCACGTGAGACAGGTTTCGCACCTGGTTCCTCCACGATCTCATGCTCGTGGGTTCGTGCTGGAGGCACTCCTGTAAGCAGGTCGTCCGGCATGATGTCCTTGTACTCTGCTAACACCCCCTGTACTGCTGCGTGTAGCTCCGAGATCGGCTTCTCCTCATTTGCCGCTGCCTTTAGTTGTGCTAGTATCCCGTGTTATTCTCGTTCACTGTGTAAGTGTCGTTTCAGGAACATCCTTTGTATCCGTCCAGCTTCTCCGCTCCACACATTTCCCGTTGTTGTAGTTCACCTTCCAGTTGACCAAGTCTATCTCAGGGTTGAACCACTTCAGAAAATCACGCCCTACGATGAAATCTAATCCTTTAATTGGCAACATCGGCTTCCAGCTCAACGCACCTATCTGCAACTGCAGTGTTGACCCCCCATGGATGGGAAGCTTCGTACCATCCACCATCATTGCTGTTAACCGGGTATCCTCCGAGGACTCCCCAGTTTTCTCCAACGTCTCCGGGTATCCTTCGTAGGACGCACCACTGTCCACCAATGCCTTGAGGCGTTGCCCTTTGTAGAGCCCTCGACTAGTGGTGGTTGTTGTCGCTCCGAATAGCTACAGATGGTGTTGCTTACAGGATCATAGGGTACATCAAATATATCATCCCTAGTTCCTGCGCTAGAAGGTACAGCTTCAATAGGGTTAGAAGGATTTAGATAGGGCTGATTCAGCTTATCCGGCGATAAGTGAAGATTGTTGCGTCTCCTTCAGTGCACGCCAGTGGCATTGCCGGATGCCGACTTGACGAGAAGCACCTCGGCGGCCACATGCAGAAGCCGCCGACGGTAGAGGAGAAGTCGGCGAAGCTGGTAAAGTCGTAATCGGCAAAGGAGTCGGCAGAGACGAAATCGGCAGAGACGTCGGCAGAGGTGAAGTCGGCAAAGGAGCCGACGGCAGAGAAGACGTAGGCAGGGGAGCAGACAATTGTCGACCAACTCGACGATGGAGCGTCGAACGACGTCGTAGAAGTCCTTGGTGGCAAGGAAAGGGAGCTGTCGACAGGGGAGCAGTCCGACGATAGCGACGACGTAGAGGTCCCGGTAGAAGAAGTGAAGCCATGGCGTTCTACTTGCTCCAACCTCGGCATGCCCGCAGAGAAGCTGAGGAACCATGCCTGTCTGCCGTCGACCTCCTACAGCATGCTACTCGACAACGCAGGGACCGTCGACCTGCCCGAGCTCGACCCCGACATGCACGCCGACATGGAGCACCGCTGGGACATTGCCAACATGACGGTGAAAGTGGCATTGACGAGTTGGAAGGGCAAGGTGGTGAAGGCCTCCATGGACGAGGAGATCAGGAGCTTCATCGCTAACGGGACGTGGGAGTTGGTTGGGCGTCTACGCGGTGTTTGCAGATATAACTCTTACAACGGGAGCCTAGGCTACGGGCAAGGCACAGCGTAGGAGTGATCGTAGCGTTCGTTCCTTAGTCATTTGCTTGTGTTCACTGTACGTGCACATTCACGAGGAAAGTTTTGGCAAGAGTTCCACTAGCAAAAGGTTCAAAATAATTGCAACAACATTGGCAAGCAAGCATGCGGGTCGACCTCCAGCGCAGCGAGGTCAACCGCGTTCCAGTGCAGTACTGCTCGCACCGCTCCAGCGACACAGAGAAGCGGCATGCCAACGTTGCAAATCTTCAACATGTCAACCCCGTAGCAAGGCGGCTGCACAGCGTTGCACCCGCAAGACAGCGTTGCACCTGCTTCGCAGGTGCGCACACCTGGTTGGCGTGCCCAGCCCCGTCACGCGCACAGCGCAGACTCCACGCTAGTGATTGTGCCCACCAGCCACGTCGACCTCGGGATATCACTTCCGAGGTCGACATCGCAGAAACCACCTGGGCGACAGTCGCGCACTTCAGCTAATCTCGGTCGCCCGGGTAACCTGTTCGCCCGGGCAACCACCAAGGCAGCGTCAGCTCATGTGCCCGGCGTCGACCAACTGCTTCTCCTCGCGCTCGTCGACCACCCAAGTCGTCGACCACGTTCCGGTCGCCGAGTGCACCAAGTCGGCGTCCCCAAATTCGCCACCGGGAAGTTGACGCCTCCGTGGTCGACCACGCCAGGTCGACCATCTGCACCTCGGCGCCTTTCAGCCCGGCCCGGCCTCCCATCGTCGTCGACGTCGGCGCCTTCCTTCGCCGACCACGTGTGGCCCCGTCTGCGGTTACGCAGTGGCCCCGTGCAGGTCGACCACCCCGGTCGACCAGCTCGCCAAGTCGGCGTCGCCTACTGCAGAAGGTTGGCTGCACACCCCGCACATCCGACCACGACGTCGGTTCCGCCCAAGCGAGGACGGGGCCAACAGAAACTTCCGTTGACACTCCCCTGCCGCTTTTACGCTTGGGCCCCCCTAGCCCACACGGTAGTACTACTCGGAGAATAGCCCGTCGGCGTGCACCCAACACACAGCACGCCGGTCACCGCACCAGCTGTGCAGAAGGGCACGGCACCTACTGCTGTACGTCGTCGTCACCGTCGCCAACTCCGGCCAGACGCACTTGGCCGATTGCGACGGAGCACCGGTTGAAGGCCGGAAAGTGCAGCGCCTTCGTAATGAAGTCGGCCGACTGTTCGGTGGTCGGGATGTACTGCAGCGAAAACTTCCCGCACTTCACCATGTGCTGCAGCCAAACGTATTGCCGCTCCATGTGCTTGAGGTTGCCCTGCAGCCCCCTTGCCATCGGCGACTATGATGGCCGACTTGTTGTCCACCCGAAAGACAGTCAGTTTCCCGGCGTCCAGCAGCCAGAACTCTGAGAGGAGAAAGCGAAGGCGACGCCCCTCCTTGCCGGCCTCAGTTGCCGCCACGTACTCCGACCCGGCGAGGACAACGTCGCGCACTTGATGCGCTGGCTCGAACAGGAGACTGCGGCCCCTCCATAGGCTATCCCTCTACCTCTATGTGGATGACATTCTGCTCATGTCTTCGAGCATGGTCTTGCTGGACGAGGTGAAGGGTCTCTTGTCCTCTCGTTTCCGCATGAAAGACCTGGGGAAGGCTACATACTATTTGGGGGTGCAGATTGAGCGTGATGAGAGTGGCATCTTGATTCATCAGGAGAGGTACATTCTCAACATGCTTGAGTGCTTGAGTCCTTTGGCCTTTCTGAGGCTAACCCCGTGCGTACCCCTACAGGGTTCGATGTGCATGCACATGCTGAGGAGCCCTTGCTGAGAGATGAGCTGGTTCAGCTCTATCAAAGCATTGTGGGGTCCCTCATGTATGCTAGCACGACCGCACAGCCCCAGATTGCCTATGCAGTGTCACAGCTGTCTAAGGTGGTGTCCTGACCCAAGGCATTTCACCTGCAGGCTGCTAAGAGAGTGTTGAAGTAGCTAAAAGGTTGTGTCAAGTCAGGTATCTTCTACCCCGCGCACACTGAGCCTAAGGTCGAGTTGGTGGGCTTTAGTGATGCTGATTATGCTGGAGATTCAGCTGATCGCAAGAGTCACACCGGCTATGTCTATTGCCTCAATGGTGCAGCCATCTCTTGGCAAAGCAAGAGGCAGCCGGTGGTTGCATTGTCCACCACTGAGAGTGAGTACATCAGTCTGTGTCAGTGCATTCAGGAGGGTGTGTGGCTGAAGCGTTTGTTTGGGGAGTTTGGGCATGAGTTTGCTGGTGGTGTGCCTGTGTTTGTGGACAACCAGTCTGCCATTGCCCTTGCACAGAATGCATGCTTGCATGGCCGCACCAAGCACATGCAGGTTCGGTGGCATTTCATCAGGGAGATGGTGGCGAGCGGCGAGGTGATCCTCCGGTGGTGCCCAACCAACCACCAAGCAGCAGACATACTCACCAAACCCCTTCTCTTTAAGCGGCATGGTGTGTGCATGTCCTTGATGGGGATGCAGCCCCATGTTGGCATGGTGCCTGAGCAGGATGTGGGAGGGCTGGTGCTTCTCTGCCTTGACGACATCATGCTGTGGATGGCGCCCCTCCCTGGGCAAGGGGGAGTGGAGTGAAGGATTTTGCCCAGTGGTGTTCAGCCACCTCCAGCACGAGCAAGGGGGAGTGTTGATTGTGTAGGTGGTTGTGGTATTTTTCTCTAGCTGGTTGTGGGCTAAGGGCTTGGGTAAAATATGATTGGTAGACTCGTTGCGAGTTGGATTTGATCTCGCACCCAACAAGCACCAAGAAACCTTTGCTACCCACTACAACACCTTTGGTGTTGCTAGTTTGGCATTTTGGGTTGTTGGCGATTGTTGTAGGGCGAGGGTTGGTGTTGGGTGCAAATTTACATTGCACGACATCCTGCCGTCTGTTTGTACGAGTATGCATGTGCGAATGCATTTGGGTGTGAATGGAATGTTCGTGTGTTTGTTTGTTTTCGCAATTTTCGCTTGATGCATTTGCAGGTACTCGCGCAATGTGCGCTTCGGCACAACATTGTACGCGCTATGAACAGTGCAAGCAGAAAGGACGAGCTCGCAAAGGAACCCAAGATGGAAGCTTTGCAGTTCGGTTGAGTTGATTGCGCAGATTCAGATCAAATCCAACTCGAAATTGTACTGCTTTGTTTGGTTAACTATAGTGTAGCAGGGAAGGCACTATAGGGGTACAATTTAGGTGAAGGTTGGATGTTGTTTGTCTGTATCTGCATGCTACAAGGCCAGGGGAAACCAGCAGGACCAGCATTTGGCTGGTTGGGCAAAGACAAAACAGGTTCTGTTATTAGAACCTGAACCTGGTTGTTGTTTTCCCAGGTTGGAAAAACAGAACCAGAGGTTGTTTACCAACCTACCACCTGCTATTTTGTCCAGCCAGGTTGGTTCTGTTGCTTGGAATTATTTGGGATCATCCCTGGTTGTTCCCAGGTTGATTCCCAAGGTCTTTGCTAGCTAGAACTATTTAATCATTCTCTGTTTGTACCTGAATATAGTCAATTGATTCAAGCGAATTCCTTCCTCGCTGGAGTTTCATTTCTGCGCTATTCGACGGCGGAATGCTACCCGAGTCAACGCTAGTATGCTAGCACTCCAACGCTAGGCAAACGCTGTCCGAGCCATAACTTAGTAATGGCAGAACTTTTCGCGAGGCAACTTGGCTTATTTTAAAGCTCTTGGAGCGAGCTTCGATATAGCGAATTCTCAGCTTAATCCGATCGACGGTCTGCACGGTACGCTGCGCGACGTTCAAGGTACTCTTGCTGTTTTGACTAAGTCCTCCTTGATCCCTCTCTCTACAAACTCGGACCCGAGGATAGGGGCTGGTCTTGTACCAGGCACCCAGGGACCCTTGGAGGTGACCCCGAAGAGAGGTTTTAAGTTTGATTAAGTCCTAATAGCTTGAGTTTATTAGGCCCTTACACCAACAAGCTGGTATCAGAGCTGCGTTATAGTGATCCTCGTTATAGGTAGCTATGGCGGGCAACACCTCGGCGGGAGCTGGTGAATC